TATATATATATATATATATATATATTTTTTTTTTTTTTTTTTTTTTTTAATGGGTTTTTCACCTTTATTATGATAGGACAGTAAATATTTCAGAAAGGAAAGCATTGGGAGCAGAAAGAGGGGAAGAATCGGCAAAGCTGTGAGCATGTCTGTGTTATATGTCAGTGCAAAATACCGCTTGGCTATTGGCGCTGACACTTAATTTTTGTTAATGGTTAATTTACCTTTAAGCCATCCAAGGTGACTTCAGTAGATCGTCTTTATAAAAATCCTAAAAAAAAAAAAGGTAATGCATTCCAGCACTTTCTGAGTAAAAAAACGGGTAACAGAAAATTAAAGGGGTGGTCCACTATGATCATATTTTAAACTTTAGTCGGTGTGTAATGTAGCTGTGTGAACATAAACAACATATATGGGTATAATATACTCAAAGATCAATGCAAAGGGAGACATTGGCTTTTACAGAGTTAGCTTAGCAAAGCCTAGCGAACATGGATTGAGAACTAAAAAAAAACTACTAGGCAAGTGAGATCACAGGGGCTTCAGGTTAAGCACATTTTACCACGCGCATACACCCTGCGCAGTGAAAAGGCATGGCCAGAGGCGCTGTAGTGCAGTAATGTAGCAGAGAAAGCTAAAGCTAAATTGTCGTCCAAACTTTGCTTTTCCACAGAGCTTGTTCTGTTTCTGTATTTGGGCTTCCAAATGACATGACACAAAGAGAGAAGTTCTTACAGTTTAATTTTAATAATGTTCCAGAGAATTATATAAAATATATAGCTAGCATTTGATGAGGGACAACTTCCAGATTCTCTCCCAGTTAGCTGGATTCAGCTAAAAACTCTTTCAACCAACGAAGCTGTGGTTTGTGAGCCACAGTAAGTGCGTAACTGTTTTTATTTGGTAAAATTGATCTATTATGCACACAGTTTCAAGCGTTAACAGTATGTTGTGGCAAGGACGTAAACAAAGATTTAAACAACGGGAAATGTTGTTTTGCAGGGTTAACAATTTAGCCTCCTATTCATATTTATCAGTCAAACCGCTTTAAATACCCCTAATCTTAATTAGCGATGCAGTGTTTCTCTATGCGGCTGCTTTCCCTGTGTTCTACAGTGTATCTTCATAATCTTCATTTTTTACTGTGACTTTGTACTGTACTGAAATGTTTATTAGTCAAAGTTTGCGGTATTCAAATGAGAACACTTTCGCTTGCTGTTTCAGATCCTTAAAGGGCTTCTCTGGACGGAGGTTTTTACTCATCTGAAACTTTGGGAGTTTCTTCAGGTGAACGTTGAGAAAGCTGTGGAGCAGTTTAGAAAGGTTCTTCAAGCTGGTAAACATTTAAAGTCTGCTAGCATGTTCTTGAATTTTTTTTTTTTTTTTTTTTTTGTCATGGTGAGAGTTAAGTTGTGTGTTTGGCATATATAGGTAACAAACCTGTGGGTCCTGAGCTGGAGGGCAAGCCAAAACTAAAAGTCATTCAGGATTCACAGTTCAGACGCCTCAGTAACACTGTAGACATGCAACTGGCCTTGGAGATGTTTGGCCGACACACGTGAGTTTGCTATCTCTAATGGCCTGGCGTTTTATGTAACTAGATATTTATGTCTAAATCTTAATTACCTTAGGGTAAGCAAGATAAGCCTAATCACAATGATGTCATAATATTTAGATGGTCATAATATTGACATGACAGCCGATTTATATGTACTACAAATCTTATTAAATTAACTTGAATTAGGTCAAGTCAATGTGAATTGGATGATTAAGCACACTTTATTTTTTTAACAAGTATTTTTTGTATTATATTATACATATATTAAATAAAATGTTGGTGTCTGCATCAAATAAAATTTACCAAAATGATATTACACATACAATTATAATATATATATATATATATATATATATATATATATATATATATATATATATATATATA